GCGCGGCAGGGCCATGCCAGTCACAGAGCACACCAGCTTCACAGTGCTCCCGTAATGAATGTAGCCGTCCCGCACTGTGAATTCCTCAGATTCGCATTCGTTGTCATCCACTGCACACAAAAAAAAAGAAAAAAGAATGAAATATTATCTATGCATGCCTAAAGTACTGTTTATATGACTGATTGTTTATGACGATCATGAAATGAGTTTAATTTTAGAGACCCTCATATCATTCCACATGAGAAATTGGTGCTCACTGGCTGTGCTATACATGTAATCACAAAGGAAACCTAGCTGTGCACTTGAAGTTTACGCCCTGCAGTAATTATCTTCTTATCCATGTGTATCCCAAATAATGTGCAAAAAGCTGTTTGCTCCTACACTTGGGGTTGAAGATGTTGAAAAAAATGTACAGCATGCACAAACAATGTACAGGTGGTCCTTCACAATTCGACATTTTAATTTGCTGGGTGGTTGACTCCCAATTCAACCTCTGCCTGCCATTTGGCATTCTTCATCATTTTTTTGTGTTTTTGTGCTGATTTTACTGTACTTAGTGAAGTTTAAAACAGTGTCTCACAATGTGGCCATTTTGCACTTCAACCCTAGTCCAGCAAGGGATCATGGTTGAATTGGGGTGTAATACCTCTATAGTCAAAAGGTATACAGGTGGTACCCTTCTATTGTATTCTTTAAGATTTTCCTTGAGATCATTATGAATCCAAAAAAAATTTTGCTTCAAGAAAATCATTAGGTTCAAATGGATTCACTTATCCTGGTCACATGCTTCCATATTTGGCTGACAGAAGTATAAATTCCAAGCATTGATGCTTGTGAACACATTCACAGTATACATTAATGTGATTCCAGTTGAAATGCATGGATGACATCTGTATATTACTCACACAAGTGAATGGTAAAGGCACCCCACTGAGTGGAACTCGCATGGAAGTTGCCATTTTCCACATGGAGGTACCTTGTGCTCACAGTCTGGGATCGTAACCGGTTGAAGAGGGCCACCTTGGTTCCACTTGCAATGCACACTGCAAAGAAGCAGACACGAATGGTAATTTGCAAATATAATCAGCTGCAAAATAAGCCTGCTGGGGACAACTCAAACCAGTCAACTCGCTAATCAGAAAGTACCGCATATTTTATTTAAATGTACTGTAAAAATTAAAACTTCTTCCAACCATATCTTGCTATAATGAATAATCGATTACCATGTTTAGTCAAATTTTGGGTCCTTACGCCCAATAGTCAGAATGATTTAAAAAAAAAAGTGGTCTTCTACAATCTACAGCAACGAATTTTTCCTTATACACGGATGATGTTATTTTTACTGGTCCCCAATTGCTGGCTTGATTGTACCGTGGTTTTGGTGTGTATGCAAACATTATATATAGACTCACAATCGGCATTTTTGAGGGACTGCTTCTTCTTGGACGGCTTGGAGATGACCTTGATGCGTTTGGAGTGGAACAACCCGATGTCCGCTCGACACCCGTAAAACATCTTGATGGACAACATGAAATGCTTCCGCTTGTCAGAGTCTGAGATGAACAGCGTCTTGGCAGCGCAATAATTCTGCAAAATACGCAACAACAAAAAAGCTTAGCATGGTATACGTGGACATGGTATACCTGTACATCCTGTAGTGGAGTCAGAATTTTTTATAAGGAAGGCCCATTTCAGTTTAACCAAAGATCACTGAAAAGTCACGAGGTTGAGAAGGCCAAGGTTAGGGCAATATTTGGGTACTGTCTTGTGAAATCCCCAGTGTTCATGATATCATAGGAAAGCTGGAAAAAATGCCACCCAGCAGGGAATTTTTTCACTCACAATTTTACAAAATATTGGACTTTTTCCTGACAGGCCTTTGTTGAAAAAAAAACATGTAATTTTGTGCAGCAAAGTTGGGATTTTTTGGGGAGGTGGAGCATTTCAGTCTGACCAAAGGTCGCTGGAATATGCCAAGGTTAGGAAGGCATAAGTTGTGAAAAATCTGGGAAGGATGAATCCTTCTATTTTCAAAAAATCTCAAATGCTAATCCCTTGCTATAGGAATTCCTGAAAGAACACCATCCACTGGGGGATTTTTATTTTTTTAGCCTTTTTTTCCTGCAGGTTCACAAAAATGCAGCTTTTGCCAAGGTTCAAAAACCTTTTTTTTTTAATTGTTCAGTGCTCATGGGCACAAAGTTTTATTTTTTTAATAATGTACTGTATATCCCAACTTCGACCCGCAATAAGGGCCAATAACCAAGGGGTTCCACTGCTATGTATATACCTTGCCATTGAGGTCCAACTGCTGCATGTCCTGATCCGGGGATCCAATCCCGATAAATGCACAAATCTGCGCTGCTTGCTCAGACGTGGTCATCACCACGGGGTCACCAGCGGGGTGATCCCCACCGCCGAGCTGATCCCCCTGCTGCAGGTGTTGCTGCTGCTGCTGGAGGTGATGCGGAAGGTGTTGTTGTTGATGCTGGTGTTGCTGCTGGTGCTGGTGCTGGTGTTGCTGTTGTTGTTGCTGGCTGAGCATGAGTTGCTCTCGTTTCCGCTGCCAGCCATCGCCGAGCAAGTAGATACAGGGTGGGGGACAAAAGAACCGCTTTTCGTTGCCGTAGGACTTTTGCGCGACTTTGGCGTGCAGGATCATCATGACCATGTCGCCGCGTTCCTTGAGGTATTTGCGCATGGCTTCCCGGGTCAGGCGAAGCTCCTTTTGTTGCCTGTTTATTCAAATATTGTTTGAAATTAGCAACACCAAAAAACAATAGGCGAGAAAAAGTTGTCTTGATTCATGGACCAACCAATCAAACAAACAAAAAATTGATTGAATTGGATGCATGCAAATACAGTTGAATATTATTACAACAATTTTTTCAAGTACAATATCGAAAACTTTTTCTCAAGTCCCAGCAGAAATCCATTTGGGTACATGTTGAAAAAAATTCTTGCCAATTCCAGTAAAATAAAATTTTTGGGGATTGCTCATTAAAAGATTCTCCAGATAGAAATTCCCTGGCTGGGGCAGTAGGCACGGTCTGAAATTTCTGATCCCAAATGTGACAGATTGGTTCTTATTTGAGCATGGATGGACGATGTAATCATTGACAAACATGCTTGCAAATAAACATCTTACTCCCAGAATGCAGTGATTGGTGCAACTGATTGAAGGCATGACTGAAGCTTAAAAAAATTTCCCTTAGAAGATGACTTAGTTTTTGAAACAATACACAATGCTGAACAAGATGTGATTTGTGATAGGCATGCCTGAAGTGAAAATGTTTTTTCCAGTGATAAATTTTTAAAATCTGATTTGAACAAATTTGCAAGTTCTTTGCAACAAACTGTTTCTGAAGTCCCCCAAAACTTGGCTCTGCTGGGGCATGGGAAAGAAACCTTCTGCCATTCAAGTAATGATTACATCCACAGCTGGTAATGTTATATCATCATTCAATGATGCACCCCTCTTTGAATGAAATTAAATCTTATAAGGGCAAAAAAAATATCTCACAATGAAATTTCAAGGCAATCTGTTTTCTTCCTTCAGAAAAATCTGGGCTACATCCCCTTAATACATGATACTGTAGCTGTTTTGATAAATTCATGGCACTTTAGTAAAAAATTTATCCAAATCTCAAATTGTGTCCAAGTGGTGTTACTCCTGCAGCATAAATACGTTAGTTTGTGAATCACCAGAGAACCTTCTCTTCTTATGTCCAGCATTTCATACTGATAGAAATGAGCTTAAAAAGGCTCAAGTATTGGAATTCAATGATGAAGAGACTCTTTCTGAAATCTTGAAGGATCAAGATAAACTGTTGGCCCCATATGATTTCTCAGCAAAGATTCTCTCTAAGATGTTCATTCAACTTAAGCTCATACAAAAACAAGCTGAAGACCTTCTGCTTTAAATTAATTGTTAATTTGTTACTGGTATTCTGTTTTCAATGTCAGGATGGAATGGGTGTATGCATACATGTCAGATGTCCACTTTTATTTTGTGGATTGTATTTTCTTTTATTTTTGTTATCCATTTGTGCTTTGTTTCCTACTTTGAAGTGATTAAATGTCTTTGAGTTGATTTGGGTTGGGTGGGGAGGGGGTTTGGATGTGGAAATCTTGATTGAACCTTGTGAATGCTGAAAAGAGGCTAATGAAGTGTTCTGTTCATTTGTTCATTCAAATATGTACTCAAAACATAAGCACATATTTGTTCTATAGTTTTGTGAGTAGAAAATGTTTAAATTCTGTCTGGTATATGTGTACTTTTATGTTGATTGATTCTCACCTAACTGCAAACATGTTCGGACGTATATTAATTTTAGTAACTTTTTGGTTCAAGATTCTTAAAGACAGTTTAGTTTTTCACAACCCAAAATGTTGGTCCTTTGAATTTCATTTTTCAACTTCATGATGCTCAGAAATTCGTAACCCAAACATTATTAGCCTAAAGCAAAGAATCACTCGGTCATAAAAAAAAAGAAAAATCGCGTTCCATCAGTGGAAAGTTCCGGCCTATACAAGGCGCAATCTTCGCGAGTACTCTTCAACCTTTCGCTCGATTCGTGCTCATACTTCACTGCAAGGTGGCGTCGAAGAAGTACCAGTGAGAAAAGCTAATAATAATGATAAACTCTGAAAAGATAAACTCGTTTTTTTATATATTTCAAGGGAATATAAAAAAACCGGTAGATGAGAAGCGTGCCGTGAGACCGCAGCTGCTTCCGGCGTCCACGGTCGGGGAATATCGAATTAACTGGTCTGATCCGGCTTTCAGCTTGATGTGCTAGTACAGCTACTTATTTATCAACATTTTTGCTTCAGTTCTTTCTTTCCTTTCGCGAAAACATGTATCGCAGATTGCTGAGTGTCAGTCAAAGTTTTCGTTGACCGAGAGACAAATCGGTAATTGGTGATTTACCTGAGAATGATGTGGAATGCGTCTGACATAAGACAAAAAGAGCACATCCCAAGAATTAATTCTTGAATTTTTTAAATGTTTGCTAAATACTTCGATTCAAGTCCTTGTGAATCATTTTAGAAATTTTTTTGCATCTTTCCTTAAGTACATATCAGTTTATTTTCAGAAAATATATAAATTATTTAGCTTCCTGACGGCCAGTATATGGAATTTTCAAAAAGTTTCACAATTCTTTGACGAATTTTTCTGACACGCCTGGTTTTACCTTCACGTGCAAAAAAGTTCATTGATTATTCTTGGAAAGTGTTTATATAGCATATGTTCATTCAAAGTTTGGAACTGCTGGTGAGAGCGTATTATATGAATAATAATTATAGTTGGCTGATAAATTGATGCAGTAAAAATAATACAGTAAATTTCCAGCTTATTGGTCATCTTATTGAAGGCTCAGCTTATTGTATTCGAGTACAGTAGAATCTCGTTATAACAAACAATTGGTTGCAACTAACTCTTTTTTCAGGCCGCTCAATAACAATTATGATGGTTTCCAAATCGCTTAACAATAAAATTATGATGGTTTCCAAATCGCTTAACAATAAAATTAAGCGTTATAGCGAAGGTTTTTTTTTTCAAGATTGACCTATAGAGTATAGAACTATATAGATGATACACCTATACTCGTATTGCATTTGTATTATCCTTTTTTGCGTGTTTAGCAATATACGTAAAAATACGATGAAATGTTAAGTTGTTGCACAGAAATAATCCTGAAACTTCGGGGAAATACAAATGAGTGACAAATAACGAATTACGTATCGTGGATTATATTCCAAAAATTTCCAAGCACGAAAAAAAAACTCCCGTTTTAGTTCTCAGAAATGACGAAAGTAAAAGAGATGAGATTTCCCTCAAACAGATGCAAGTTTGGCGTGCATATCTGTACAGAAAAAAGTTCTGGATCGAAGCCTCACATTATTCACAAACATCTTGAACTTGTCGCGATTTCCTCCACACGCGTGTGGGTTAACTTTCCCCGAGGGCACCACCCTTTCTTGTTAGGTTTTCCGAACGACAGAAGAGAAGAACGTGGTAATTTTCTTCTTGCCGTTCCAGAAAGGTTCCTTCATCACTGTTGAGCTCCGTCTGTGTTTGGATTGATGGCGATGTTGCATGCACGCTTTTCTCTTGCAGATTTCGATCCATATTTTGACGGGGAAATTACACGGAAAAACAAAAGAAATTTGTTTCGGGAAAATATCTGGTTCTCAGGAGCAGCATATTACTGTAGTTCTGAGCCTAGCATAATCATCATTCAATAATATGCAGTGGACCCCGAGATGCGGACGAAATTGGTGCACGAACAAATAGGAACCTTGTCCCTATATAAGTAGGAACGTTCGCATTTCGGACCTCGTTTTCCCATTTGAATATTTTCAATTGGTTCGCCTGTAGATAAATAGTTGGCAAAAGTCCCCCAAAATGTTCAAGATGCTTTTTTCAAATTCAAGACTAAAAAAAAAATAACTGCACAGAGGAAAGCAATACAGAATTTATTCTTTTGTCATCAGGAAGAGCTCAAGAAACAAAGAAAAACAAAAAATCTTGCTATACTGAGAATCCATGATTGAAAAAACTGCAAAAACGAACCCCAAAATTCGCCTGTTTTTGATTATGAACCATATAATAAATTATATATCTCAAACATTTATAAAATAAATATATAATGAAATTTATGCACAACATTTGTAATGCTATAATAGGCCGATTTAATCAAGAAATATGAAAATTTAGAAAGCTCAAGAAAAATGTTCGTATCTCGAGTCACTGCCCGATTGTTGGCGTCATATTTTTTCAGCTCTAAGTGTCCTCAAGTCAACTTGTCCGTAAGTCGAGATGTCCGCATTTCGGGGTCTCACTGTGATAAGTGTTCTCCTGATGGGTTCTGGATACTCATGCTTAAATTCTCGACTGACTCCAACAGAGTAATTTGAAGATCCATAGTCTAAATTCGTCATCTCCAAATGAATCCAATCATTCTAAACGAAACTGCGTCTGCGAAGTTTTTTGTAATCCTCAATTTTCCATAACATACATGATTGAAACATTTATTTGCGGCAAGAATATCTTTGCGGGGCCGTCCAGCACATTTTTTGATTCTTCTCGATTATAACTGCTCTGATCTTTTTAGTGTAGTTTTTCTAAATAATTTCTACGTGAATTTGAATGGGTGGATTTTTGTTTCGTGTTTCAGGTATTTCAATGCATAAAGGGTACGCATTCGTGCAGTTCACTAACCCGTTGGACGCCAGAAGTGCGTGCATCGGAGAAGACGCTCGGCACCTTTCGGGTCAAATTCTCGGTGAGTCGTCCTCCAATAAAGAAAACTGGTCCGAAGCTCGAACAAATATTCGAAAAAAAAAATTTTTCAACATCATGGCATTTTCAAAGAGTGGAAAATAGGCACGATAATAGCCACGTGTTCAATGATGGCCTCAGGATATCAGTAGATTTGCGCTGGAGCTTGAGGAAAGCATGAAGCTGCTGTTAATTGAAATTTTTGCATTCTCGTGCGATTATTCAAGACTGTGCTACCTAATTTTTCTGATTAATGCATAAAATTATTTTCCATTCATGTTGTAAAATCCTCATTTTACGAGAAGGTGAATTTTGAAAATATTTAAAGTACACTGCTGGGGGCGAACTACATACAGAGAGAATTCCCTCGTCGGGATTACCATATAATTTTTCTATCATCCCCAAAAATTAGCATAATTACAGTACATATATAACACGAAAATGAAGCTTCACGCTATATACATCTGAAAGAGAAAACTACAGAGGCTAAAATAAATTGGTGATCTACTGAAATTTTTTCCATTGTCAGACCATTGGAAAACAGTAAATGATGAACCAAACAAATGGAAAACCTATTTGTTACATTTAGTGAATACTTTCCGCAGTTTTGCAAGCAAAGTTCCTTTTTTCGTGAATTTCCGAAGTTTCGCGCTTCAGAAACTTACCTGAAGCTACAATTATTCATATAAATGTTCATCGCATTTTTTTCGAATAACCAAGACATGACCGTATAAAAAATAAGCAGGTTTCTTCCGGTAGAATTTCGTTTATTTTTAGCGGTATTTTTAATATAACAAGATACAAAACTTGAAGTAATGTTCAATACCTTTATCCGGACCAGTTTTAGCGCATTATTTTCACCCCTGTTCTTGTTTTTGAAAACGTAATTTTGCATCTGTTCGTTACTTTAATGGAAGGCATTCTGCATTTACACGATGCATCATTCTAAAATTTCAAGTACGAAAGATGAAAAGTCACACGTTAACCACTTGAAAGAACGGGCTTCTCCAAAATAAAAACCTGTCCCCCGGATTGCATTTCTTTGACGATAGCTCTGCTCTAACAAACAATGTCAAAATATCGTGTTTTTGCTTCACCATCATGAGCTCAATTCGTATTTTTGCAAAGTCAAAGCAGAACAGAATAAAAGTCATTTTCCGAAAGACTTTTTGGAGGTATACAAGTATATATCAAGACAATAAGCAGGCCATGACGGAAAATCATCGATATTAATGAATTATTTATATTTTAAATAGTCAATGCAATTTGAACCATAAAATCGATGCAACTCCGAAGAGATAATTTTTATGAAATTCAGTTTTCTCTGCCTTGTTATTGCTTATGAAAAATAACTTTTGATCGAAAAACTGAGGCAGAAAGTAAGGTAGTAGGGTACCTGAGCGTTTTTTTACACAAAATTATGTGGTGAACATGCGTTTTTCGTAATACTTCGATTATAAAAGCTTTAGCTATTGAGTCTTGCAAGGGAGACGAGCTAACTTATGCTATAGGATGAGAATATTACCAGAAGTGAACTTTCTACAATTTAGCCTCCTTATTTTGTGCTTCCAAACTTCAGTGCCAGGAGAATTACGAGAATTTTTGGACATATTTTAAAAGCAGTTCAACATTAATAAGATCATCCAACATGTTCCGCTGAAAACCATGCCGATGAAGGCAAACTATACTTCTGGGAACAATTCTCTATCAGAATTCGCAGGAGTTGAAAAGCTCTTTATATACAGTATATAATTAAACAGCATTTTGAGGGGGTGTAACATGTCCTGAATTTTTTTGGCAATCCATCTCTTGGGGGGAAAAGCGAAAATCTTCCCATTCCCGAAGATGAAGGAACTCGCAAGTGTCATCTTGTCTTGAGCAGTGTGTTACATACAAATCAACAAGCCGTCTTATTTGAGTGGCTTCTCGTATGTATAAGACGACTTCTCTCTTCCGCGACAAGAGGAAATAGGAACTGACACAATTTCCTGAGGTGAGCTCAGGCCTACTCCCCTAGGAGAATGAA